AAGAAAGCTGTTGTCTTTAGCAGGGCTTGGGATTCATAAACATCTGTTTTTCCACCATGAGAAACAGGATGCTGCTGATCTAGTTACAGCTCTGGTCTGACCCAACAGGGCTCTTCTTATATTTTTATGTTCACTAGAATTTAATTGAATATTAATTTTATATAGAAATGTATAAGAGACATCTGTTCTATGCAAGGACCAAAGCATTAGCAATTATGTTATTGGTACCTATCTGGAAAATATGGCAATTGCTCATTTGCAGATGTCAGTTCATTAAACAAGTTTCCTTTTGAAATGCATAGTGCTTACTTACTAATATGAACATATATAATGAATGAGCCAAGAGCAATTGGGCAGAACGGGTCAGATTGATACTATAAGGGCTTGGAGCAAACTTTATATATGGTTATTTGATAATGTACTTTAAAAGACCAGTACAGATATTCTTACTGTCAAACAGTTGCACAGAGACTATCTCACAGAATAAAAGCGGGGTTTTAATATTAACCAGCCATTATGTTTTGCCACGGTTTGATCAATTATGGCTGAGCAAATCATATTATGGTTTAGCCTGATGTATAAAAACTGTTTACATCATTTGGCGCTGGGAATATAGCAGTTTCCATAAGAAAATCTTACTACAGAAGATCTGCCTAAACGTTGTCGGAACTAAGAAATGCATAATATGTCACTGGTCCAATTGATTGTATATATATTCTGCCTTTTTTTAAGACCTCAAAGTTGTATATTAGGTGGCCTCCTCATTTTATTGCCATGCCAGCTCCTTTGTGAAGTAGGTTGGTCTGAGAGAGAAAGACCTTGCCAATAATCACTCAGGACACTCTATACAGTATCTTAACCACTACACTAGTATAGGCTATATTGAATGCAGAATAACAAAATAACATAAATTGTACACATCATATGGCATGGTTCAGTTTAGATAAACCATACATTTTTCACTGTCAGTCGCAGTTCAGTCCTTTACATGACTGCAAAGGATATCCTGCAGAGTCAATGGATTTTACATAATTTACATAATTACATATAGGACTGCAGCCTATTTTTGAAAGGAGAAAACCTACAAGAGGAGTTTTATATTCAACAAAAAGGGGGTTATGATATTTAGTAGGCTTTTATTATATAATCATATTTCACTGACTAGTTTTTGAAGGACAAAAATCCTCTGGGCATTATGAGAGAATTTCAAGCAACAGCTGCAAGAATTTAACTCAGCTATGGTTTAGTAGCTTGGCCTCTTTAGCTACACGATCAGTGTCCTAGACTTCAATCAAAAATACATACTTGAGCATTCTTTCTGTGGCACACTAGAGCGCTTGAACTGAGTGAAACCCTTTTCGCCAAAGGCTATCCAGAAGAAAGACAGGGAGCTGGATTCCCCTGTCACAAAGCTTTCCTTAAAGCATCAATAAAGATAAAAAAAGAAAAAGAAAAAAGAAAACCTTCTCATTTTTCAGTGTTTAAGACTTGGCCCCTAGCTTTAATTCAAATAATTTTTTTGTGAAGAACCGTCTGTTTGAGGGAGTAGTGCTGTTGCAAATCTCTTTAAATTACATTTTATCTTTGAAATAAATCTATTTGAATTTGAGGACTTCGGTACTGGTTTTTTCTGGGCAGATGACAGAAAACCCTTACCTACCTTAAAAACCATGCTGGCAGCCACAAAATAAGCCACCTTATCAGCTCTCATTACTACATAATAGATATGACTGACCACTCCCTGGTGAGTCTTGTACCGCTAGTGTTCTAGCTGTCTCCTGGCCTGTTTCATTGCCTGGAGCTCCCCAGGAAACCAGAGAGAGGCTTGGGCTCTTCAGTGTTAGAATGGTCACTTGGAGTAATTGCAACCATGGGCTGTTCTGCTTCCCCATTCCAAAAATCATCAGGGATCTCAACAGGATCTTTTCTGTTCATCCCTCTGGAATGATCTTTCTCCAGAGATTCATGTGGCTGCCACTCTTACGCTATTCACAAAATTATTGAAGACCCAGTTGATTTTGCAGGCTGGGGGCAGGGTGATTGTGGAGTCCCCTTCTGGCTTTGCTTCATTTTGGTCTGATTGTTTTTGTTTTGGTATTTTGCTCTTTCAGTCAGTTGTATTCTTTATATGTTGGTTTTTAGTTGTAAGCTGCCTAGAGTTGTTTGGGAGTCAGGCAGCCAAATAAATAAACAAACAAATAAACAAACAAACTGGGAATTCTACCACAGTATTAAGCATTCATAAGTCTTCAGGAACAAATTATTGTAATGGTTCCTCCACCCCTGCAGAAGGGAGATGATGCCATGAGACCATATTTCATTGACATTGAGTTACCATGACATCAAAGTAACAGTAACCCCTCCCAATATCTGGACCACCTTCTTAAGCCCTGAGGCAAAACTAAATGAAGGTATACTCTGCCCCGTGCATTGGTCTGATGGCATTTTCATCTGATAGGAAGCCATGAAATCTTGAGCTGGCAAATCAATAGGTTGCCTTCTTCATCCATGATCAAATCGTTGGTGAGTGAGAATATGTTGGAAAGATGAAGAAAAGGAAAAGAAAAATATTGGTGTCACGTATCTGAGGGAGGGGGGACTAGATGGGAAAATAGCCTGCAGCCATCTATGTCCTCTCAGATATCTCCTCCTCCTAATCCGTCGCTATTCCGGACCAGCAATCACCTGGATTTGGGCACCACCATTCTCATCCCCCCAACCTTTCCCACTACAGATATTGTACCTCTCCAGGTATACCTCTTCATTCCCACAGAGAAAATAGAAAAAAAATGTAATGCATCCTCAATCTCTTGGAGATCTTAATGAGCAATAAGCCTGTTGAAACCTTTAAAGGAAATACATAACCTTTTAATATGAATCCATCTAATCTAGCATTCATTGTTCAAGTGCCATCACAATTAGAGTTAATGACTGGTAAAATTATGCCTAACGATTATAGTAACTTTTACAGGACTCTGAATTCACTATTGAACAAAAACCAAAGATCAGTGACTGGAGAGAGTGAGTGCCCTTAATTTCAAAGGATTAAACTGCCTAATCCTGCAGGACTGATAGATTGCAGAAGTTTTGCCAACTTCGTATCCTCTACATGTTTTGGGATCGTGGGCTCCCATGCCGACAGGGATTTTGGGTAGGTGCAATCCCAACAACTGGAGAACACCAGATTGAGGAAGACTAGACTAAAGCATGTGTCTTCCATGTGTATACAGCCTTTGGAATGGAGAAAATCTGTTGGCAATCATATGGCATCTATATAAGGATGCTTCATCTGTATCTTCCCCCTTTCTTTCTGATCTTTCACAGAAACAGATTTGATTTCTCTACTATAACTGAAACATCAGGAAACACACAAATAAAGATAGCTTAGTCTCTTGTAATCAAATTGAGTATTGGCAAGATGTAATGGCCAAAACATAAGTTAACATACGTCCCAACTGATGAAGTTATTAAACCATTACAATATACTACCCATTTCTTCTTCGAACTGCAGCTCATGCAGTCTTCTGGAAACAGAGGCTAGATTATTGCAAAAACATGATGACCCAGATCTAAATACACCCAAGGGGTTGCCTCCTGCCGGAGTAGCTAAGCAATAGTAACTGAAGTCTTTCCTTTGGTCAGCAGCCACTATGGACCAACTCAACAACCGTTTAAGAAAAGCAGAGGGAAGAAATAGGGACCTGTCAATCTGCTCATTGGTATGCAGGTATGCAGTCCAAAAAACCTGCTGTCTTCTGGCTATCATTCGAAGATTATTCATGGACCATTTTTGCTTTAAGGAACCTAAAGATCTGGCTATCACTGAGTTCAGTGGAAGTTTCTTCCAGGGATAAATATATAGGTAAGGTGGGGAAGATGAATCCCTCCTAATGTGGTTGATCTCCAACTTTCAGCAGATCCAGACAACATTGTGAATGATGGAGAAAGCTAAGAGTTGGGAGTTCAGCAACATCTGGAGGACTGAGGATTCCGTACACCATCTACAGAAGAGTCTAAACACCTGTCTTTTGCTGTTGATATGCATGTATGAAAGACAGGAAAACGGGGCAGGGGGCATTTAAGTAAGATGTAATGATGATAACAATGCAAGAGATTGCACCCCACAATTTCTATCTCAAAATAGTAATTACAATAGTAACATAGAGACAAGTAATCAAATCACAGCTAGAAAAACTTTTAAATATTTAAACAAGAAAAATACCAGAGCGGAATCAAAGCTATGAAAAGATCTTAGTCCCAACTGGAACACAACAGTGAAAAACAAATGGAAATATAAGTATTTGTTGAAATCATTGCTTTGGATATCAATGCTATCCAGAGGAATATGATGATAAAGTGAAAGTGATGTTTCTCTATTAAAAACATATCATCTATTTGTTGCTGTTTTAAACAGGGAAAGTTCAGTATCTCCAAATACAAATACATTTTAAAAGATCAATATATACATAATTTTAGGGCTTCCCAAGCTGAAAAGAATCATTATATAAATATATCTCAGCTGCCTAACAAGGTCATCAGAAGACCAGCCTAACTGTCTGTATATATGTATGTGTTGACTGCAATGGGCAATCAGCAGCTGTGTTTAAGTCTGTTCCTGACTTCAGTAAAATTCGAGACTAGCTGAGTTGTATCTGTGGGTCTTTTGCCAAGTGCAGCCAAGAGTTAATTAAGGGTTAATTGTTCGAAGATCTGCGATTTATTGCTGAGCCTAGGTGATAAATTTGATAATATTTTACAAGTTTCAGTTGAATCTTACTCATCTCTTGAACAGCTTGGACAGATTAAAGAAGAAAACAACCATATAAAACATGACTCACAAGCAGTCTCTTATTTTTGCTTGTTCAAAATCCCAATCATAATGAGTATGAGTATTAGTGAGTACAGAATACAGAATAAAAATAATCTCATGTAATACTGACAGCAACCAATTATTTGGGAAAACACATGCATAGGCTGATGTGTAAATTCATATCACTCACCAAAGCTGTCACTTTCACCTGAGGGCTTTCATTGATATTTTCAGACCACATGATAAATTCCTCTGCTTCTGTGAAGAAATACAGTATATTTTTTAAAAAAATGTTCTATCCATAGGTCAGAGGTCACTGTTTTTAGGTCAAAGGCCACTCCTGGGCTTTAAGTAAACCAATAAATGAGTTGGGATATGGCAAATTAAATTGGGTTTAATGGATTTACTGGGTCAAATGTAAATTTAGTCAAAACTAAACTAAATTAATTAAATCCTGCCTATATGAGGGCTATGGAGTGCTTTGAATTTGATTCCAGAAAGATGCTCTGGAGCACAGGGGAATGGGAATATAGTAACTATATTGCAACTCTTAAAGTGACTGCATCTTTTTCAAGGATCACACAATTCTTTCCACAGCTGCCACATAACTACAGGAAGGCACAGCTGCCTTAACAACTTGCAACAGGTGTTACTTTCCAACTTCCACATGCTCTGAAGCACCTTTTCTGACCTGATTCTGAAGTACCACACAGCCCTAGTTAATGTTATTACTTACCATATATTATACTTAAAAAAAAAAAACATCCTGACACATTAAAAATTACTATTCAGTGGAAAATTTTGGTGGGAGTCCAAGGACTATATCTCAAATACTTGAGGGTCTGCAGGTCTATAGGCACTGCAAAAAACCCCAAACTTTGATAACTAAAATCAGTAGAAGAGATTAAAAAGTAGCTGTTCCAATCTGAATAATAACAATTTAATAGTAACAGCCATAGCAATAGTAATTATAATGGGGACAGCTTGGATTCAAAGTGCTACGCCAGTTCTTCTTCTACCACAAGAATTTTGACTTGTCTCTTTCTCAAAGAGCAGTGTTTCTGTTTTCTTCATCTGAGGAAATCTGAAACTCAGATTTGCAATGTGACAGTTGAGACCTACTTTAAGAAGCTGAACAATTGTGGGGGGCAAATAATCTTTAGGAAGTTGCTGAACTACAACTCCTCCCAGAAGCCCCCCTCCCCCCAGAATGACCAAACGTGAGGGATGTCTCAAATTGCACCTCAGTACCGTCAAGACACAGGTTCCTCTAACACATGGGAAATTTGTTTCTTCTGAAACGCAGAATCTTCCATAAGCAAACATGAACTTTCTTTACCTTTGAACACATATCAGTTCTGAAGTACACTTAAATATTCCAAATAAGGATAAGCATCCCAAGAGGGTTAGTCAACTTCCATATTCTAATGGGCATCAGGTGACAAAAATGGGAGATACATTCCATTCTTGGTGTAAAAATATTACATTTGCAGAAGCCTCAGTTATTGCTATTATTGTGGTATTTTTCCTCCTATAACTCTTTACTAATATGTAAACCAGATCAACTTGAGGAGCTGTTATGGTCCATCTTGGCCATAAGCAAGGCCATCACATCTCTTAGTTGTCTAATAATTTGGGACTAGAGGAGATTCAAATATCAGAACACCAAGTGCATGCAGCACTATGGAAAAGAATGCCAAGTCAGGCTAAGCAACTTTTAAAAACCCTTGCGTACTCCAGGGCATAGCATTAAAGCTTGAAGTACACTACATTAAAAACTGCAGGCAGAATGAGCACTGGTCCGTGTCACTCATGCTAATTTCATTTATCTTTTTTATGGTGCTCTGAGTTCATATTCAGTGAGGCATAAGGCTGAGCATCTTTAGATCCTCCCTGCGTTCCCTGACATGAGCACATTGCTGACTGACTGGTTTCCTTTGACTCAGTAAGGATTCCAGCTGTGAGCAGTGGTTTGGATAGCTGATAGAGCAGCAACAATTAGGGAGGGGGGACCACATAACAGAAACAACGCTGAAGTCCCTCAGCTCAAAGGCAAAGGGAGGGCAGAGAAACAGAGCCACTGGGTGGATTTCATCTGGCCAGGTCTTGATCAGCAGGGGCAGAGGAGTACGGAGATAGCCTTGAAGGAGGAATGCAAGAACTGCTAAGTAAATAACAACTTGGCTCTGAGAAAGAGGAAGGGGTGAAAAAGAAACCCAAGATAATGCCACCTTGATTTGGTTTGCTGTAAGAGAGGGCACAGGGAAACCCTCTGACAGGTTTTCAAGGTTCTATTATTAGACCCTGTAACAATAAAGTAGAATTCCAGTAGTCCTTGCAGTGTCCGTTTTCTGAACTGGCTTACCTCAAACAGCTGAGAGCAGGCAAAGGAAACCCAGCTATTGGTTAGGACAGAAAGCTCACTAGATTTAACCATATGCTTCTAATCACCCCTTTCATCAGGCAAAGCTTTATTTTGGCTTTAAATGCAACCTAGAAATATTTTAAATAAATAATAATGTAAATCATTGACACCAAGAAACGTACTGTATGTGTGCATTTTATTATTCATAACATGGTGGGGAGGAACAACATGCAGGTTTCTATAAGTTGTTGACTCAAAGTTCATGAAGGCATGATTAAAAAGAAGATGACCAAATGGATAACACTTTTTCAGCTTCACCGTTGCATCAGTGCTATCAGGGGGTTAGCACTTAGCTGACCTCGTCTGGATCTGGAAATTAATCTGCTTCTGACCTGGTTTAGTACTTGGATAGGAGACTTCTAGGGAATTGAGAATAGACAGGGGAAGTTGAAAATGCATCCCAGAAGAAGGCTAAATAAACTATTCCCATATTGTTGTCAAGAAAACTACACGGATAAGTCCATGAAACCATTAGACATCAAACTTACCCCCAAAGAAACTTTATTTTATTTGGCAGGTTTTTTAAAAATTTGCATCATGGTGAAAATTCAAATGTTCGGTTATCTTAATAGTCACTGATTTAGGAACATAGAAAGCTATTTTCTGCTGAGGCAGGCCACTGATTCATCTATCCCAATATTGTCTACAACTAGGCACAAATGGCCTTTCAAAATTCAAAATGGTAGCACAGCGAAAGGAAGGAAGGAAGGAAGGAAGGAAGGAAGGAAGGAAGGAAGGAAGGAAGGAA